GGGCTTTAAGTGAGGAGGAAGCTCTAAAAAATCTTCAAGTCAAAACATGAAAACAGAGTCGGGGTACTGCTTCTAAGTGTTAGTAAAGTTTGAATATTGTCTGAAGTCCTGAAAAGTTCCATTGCAGAGAGGGTGTTGGTCTGTGGAAACACCTCACCAAGCACCAGAAGCTTAGCACATCACTGCCGGTCTCCAGCCTCTCTTACTGTATTTGGAGGTGCCTGCACACTGCTTTATTTAGACTTGCTGACCTGTGAAAAATGGAAAGCCCCAATTTTGATAGCGTCACCTGAATTTGCTTGTATCACCAGACAAGCTTATCAAAAATGTAGAACAAAGGCCTAGGAAGGGACATGAAAAGGTAAGTTTCTAATTATAAATGTGGAAATCAGTTTACAAAAAGACAAGGAAATGTAAAACTCAATTCTAGATTGCATTTAGCAAGATTCCTCTGTCACTTGCTGCTCAGCACTCATCATTTAGAGCTAGATGTTCTCCCCTGGAGCATTTACAGGATCTCTGGGCCAGTCATTGTGGCCTCTCTAGGCCTCAGGCACCCAGCTATTTTCTTTAAATTTTCTGCTTCCTTTTAATATGCATGAGGTATTTGGGGGTTAACTGAAGGCTTTTACCCTTCAGTAGTTAAAATGCTCCAGGGTGTCTTCTGAACTGCTCACCTTCCTGTTCTACCAGACACTTTGTGTGTAGCAACTTTTAAACAGCTTTTCCAGGTCCACCTGAGTCAGTATAAGCGTCGTAAAAGTCATTTCCAGTCACATCTTGCATATCTTGCACGCTTGCACCCTCCAGCGGGTGCATACAACCAGGGGAGACAGCATGGGACATGGCTATGGAGGATCCTCTTGCACCTCTTCTGGGAAGCCTGCGTGCTCGACTGGCTCTCTGAAATGCCTGTATACCAATGCACGCAGCATGGGGAAATAAGCAGGAAGAGTTAGAGATCTGTGTGCGGTCGCAGGGCCATGATCTCATTGCAGTGACAGAGACATGGTGGGATAGTTCACATGACTGGGATGCGGTCATGGATGGCTATGTGCTTTTTAGGAAAGACAGGCCAGGAAGGCGAGGTGGTGGAGTTGCTCTTTATGTGAGGGAGCAGCTAGAATGTGTGGAGCTCTGCGTCGGGGTGGATGAAGAGCAAGTGGAGAGCCTATGGGTAAGGATTAAAGGGCAGGGTAACATGGGTGACACTGTGGTGGGGGTCTACTACAGGCCACCTGACCAGGAGGAAGTCATCGATGAGGCCTTCTACCGACAGCTGGAAGTAGCCTCACGGTCACAGGCCCTGGTTCTCATGGGAGACTTCAACCACCCTGACATCTGCTGGGAAGACAGCACAGCTAGGCACAAACAGTCAAAGAGGTTCCTGCAAAGCACTGATGATAATTTCTTGAC